GAAACGTTGCTACAACTTTAAAAGCACAACTACAATGACGTGGGAAAATACCCAAACAAAGCTGAATAACACACACACACACACACACACACACATATATATATACACATACACACACACACACACACACACACACAGAGTGTCAAGATCAAGACAAAATTCCTTCCTGTTCTGTGCTATTATAGCATACCTATAATATTGTGACTCGTTCTGGCCCATGTTTTAGGAAAAACACTGACAACATATGAGAGAAAAATAGCCAAGATCATAAGGGACCTCAAAAGAAAAAAATATAACAGACTATTGAAGATGTTGGATAGGCTTAGCAGGAAAAAAGAAGTCTGCAGTATATATGCTAGCTCTGCAAAGTCATGGAGAAATTCAAAGTTGCTCCAGATAGTAGGATAAGTAACAGTGGGTTTAAACAATAAGAAATTTTGATTGGACAAATTCCTAACAGTAATACTTAGTTAACAATGGAACAATTTGTTCTGTGAAGTTGTGGATTCTCATTTACGTGAAATATTTAAACAGTTTGCATGGCTAAGGATGTTGCAATACTGGATTTTTGTACTGGCCAGGGATTGGTATAGATCAGAGGTGTCATACTCAAGGCATCCATTTGTTGTCACGTGTCCCCTTTCCTTAAAATACAGGTGGGCATGGCCAGCGCGTGACGCATCTGGCCTGCGGGCCACAATTTTGATACAACTGGTATAGATGATCTCTCAGGTAACCTCAAAACCTTATATTATTTGATTGTTTAGAGGCAAACTTGATGTAATAGCATTCATACAATTAGTACTTACATGAATGTTGAAAGCTGATTAGTATTAAATGCTTGGGTGGAAGGAAGGTGATAATGGTGATGATGGTAGCATTTGATCCAGATATCAGTTACATATTAGCTTTAGGGAAGCTAATTCTGCAGACGATCATATTCCTTAAACATGTGCTGGAAGATGAACAATTAAGTGATGACAGAAGAGAGAAACTTTTACAAAATATGAAAAGTTATAGGGGAATAACGCAAGTCCTTGTTGCTTAGTCAGCTCCATAACTACCATTAGTATTTTGCTAGTAGCATAAAGTATTAGTAAGAAACTAATTTGCATTACTGCAGCTGATGCTGTATCTGTCTCCGATATCACAACCTTAACCCGTTGTTCTATTCTTAACTCAGTTCTTAATGTATTGTTTCCTAGAAGAGGTGTAAATCTGGCTGTCAAATTTGGTAACTGAAAGATAGTGCCTTAGAAAATAACATTAAAAGGATAGCTGCAAGAAATGAGAAATATTTCCTATCACTGCAAACATTGCCAAACTTTGTACAAGTTGGTCATATTGATGTCTGGAAAAACAGGAAAAGATTTTTCATTCAAATGAATTAAAATTATGTTTCCACATGGAAAAGTCAGAATTGTGGGATATGTTCCAATTACATTCTTTATTATGGATCATCTTTAAGGATTACAGATAAGAAGCACTATTCTGCAGTGCTTCATTCCTAAGTGGGAGATTTAGTCAGTGATGGGAGAGAGTGGGATTTTAGCTGTTCAATATATAAAACTATTAGGGTAAATTATCCATTAATTTATGATAAAATATTAACAATATTTTTGATATAATTACACACCCAGATAAACCTGACATGCATTGGAGAATTTGAGCTCATGTTTAAAGATCTGAAAAGGGACATTGAATGGAATGATAGATGCTGAAATTGAACTCTTGCAAGGCTGGGATGCTATCTGAAAATGCCTAGCTGTCAGTCATCTCCTATTCTGACACTGAATGAAGTTGCTGTGTTTGGATTTTGAATAGATTTCTGAATGCAATTCCAAGATTTGTTTTTAACTTACAAAACAATGACTCCCAAACTCTGCTATGGTGTTCTGGCACCCCACACCAAACTCTCGGGAATACCGCAGAATACTTTAATAAATGGAAATGTTAGAATTGACTGTGGTGCCCCAGGATGCCCTGGCATTCCATTTGGGTGCTGGGGTACCATGAAAAAGTCATTGAGATGCTAAGGAAAACTGGGAAAGTTTAGCAATCTCTGTTATAATGGTCAACATGCTTGTGTTCCACTTGGTTAGTGGCTTGGGTAGTGCCTACTCTGGGGGTTTTCAGGAAGGTGTAAACCAGAATAAAAATGTAGGGTATGTGTCATCATTAGACTTAGGTTGAGTGTCACCTTTTGTTAATGCAGTGTTCAAGAGAATATGTTTTACAATGTCATTATTTTAAAATTTAATTTGTAAACTGTTGGGAGTTACACTAGAATAAAAAGTATATATTGGTGATGTGTAAATAAATATGTCCAGCTATTTTATGTCATTTCATGCTTTGATTGCACCAGATATTGGATATTATTGTTATTGTTGCATATTTTAGGTAAACCTTTTGTTTATTTTCTATATTTTCTATTTTCCTAAAAGGTGTATTATATTGTCATATATTTAGTTTTTAGTTTATTTTTTTTTAATAGTTTGATTTTGTAAGAACACTACTTAATATCAGACCTACAACACATATTCTGACTGGTAAGTAAGTTCTTTTTCGAGAAACAGGAGCTTCAAAGATTTTTTCAGGTTCTGATAAGTGAAGATAATAAATTAAAGTCTCCAGTAAGCCCAAACATGTTATAAGCAACAGACTTGATGTCGACGTCTGGAATAAAATATTCTGATATGGTTAACTTTCTTACTTTTTGTTTCTTTCCAGTCCCACTACCCCCCCCCCCCCCCCCCCGCAATCCTTGGTTATTTGTATTTCTGTCTGATCATTCTTATCCATCTTGCATCAAACTCCTGAACTGCTCAAAACTATGGGATCAATCTCAGGTTCTCCTTCCTTGATCTAATTGGTCAGGCTGGTACTGGTTGGAGTATATGGCCTGGTGAAATCCGTCTCAATGGTCTTTACTCAGCTGATCCCTATGGGAAGTGCACCATCACCTTATTAACAACTGAGCTCTTGAATGTCTTGGTATTTCTGTGCAATTTCTGATAGTAATATGAGAATTTACATATGAGCTGAATATAGTCCACCAAATGAGATGAAGCAATTGCTGCCCTGCCTGAGATGAGAGATAAGGACACAATAAGAGCTAAAAGTGAGATGTGAAACAAAAAATAGTCTCCCACAGCAT